ATTCTGTAAAATATATGTAAAATTTAAAAAGGTTTAATGCCCACATTAATGTAGAAGCATGTAGCTCTGTCGGCGCAATCAAGTATATCTGTAAGTATATAAATAAAGGAAGCGACCAAGCAATATTTAATCTCAGGAATGAAGGTGAGGTAAATCCCGTTAATGAAGTACAGACCTTTCAAGCAGGGCGTTATGTCAGCAGTAACGAGGCAGCGTGGCGTCTCCTTGGCTTCCCTTTACACGAAAGGCACCCAACAGTTACTCACCTTGCTGTGCACTTAGAAAATGCAGAGCGTGTATATTTTACCGAAAGAAATTTCCAAGAAAGAATTGCATCACCGCCAAAAACTACACTAACAGCCTTCTTTCAACTTTGTCACACCGACCCCTTTGCAAAAACGTTGTTATATTCTGAAGTCCCCCGCTATTATACTTTGAACACATCTGGGAAGAAGTGGAAACGCCCTATTCAAGGCGCGCCTGTTGCAAATTGGCCCTGTGTAAAGTCATCAGATGCCCTTGATCGTGTGTATAGTGTCCATGTAACTAATTTTGAATGTTTCTGTTACGATTTCTGCTGCACCCTGTTCGGGATCCTACAGGATATAAAGACCTTAAAACTGTCAACGGTCAGGAATGCGCAACTTATAGAGAAGCATGTGAAGCTCTGCATCTTTTAGAAAACGATAATCACTGGGATGAAACCATGGAGGAAGCTGTGTAGTGCCAGTCACCAGCCAAAATTAGGGATATTTATGCAGCAACTCTCATATCATCTTGCGGGCTATCTAATGCACATAAATTGTGGGACAAATATAAAGAGTAAGTGGCGGAAGATATTATGTAAGTTACAGCAGACACACGCCAACATGACATACAATGAACACATTTATAATGAAGCACTTGGAAAAAGTTGAAGATAAAGTAATGGCAATGGTAGGCAAAAAATTAAGCAACTTTGGAATAATAAGCCCTCAGCCAACAACCGAAAATGAACGAAGTGATGAAATTATACGTGAAACAAACTACGATATACCAGCTTTGCAGCAGCAAGTAGCCGAATTTGTAGCCCGCTTGCTTCCCGAACAAAAACGAGTTTTTGACAAATTGAATCTTGAAATTGTGCACTTTTCTTTTTAGATGCCCCTGGAGGAACTGGGAAGACATTTTTGTTAAATTTATTATTAGCGCAAGTACGGAAAGATAAAAACATTGCTGTGGCCGTAGCTTCCTCCGGTATAGCTGCCAAGCTGCTAAGCACACATTAAAACCCTGCCAGGAAGAATCACCGATCTGCAACTTTCGCAAAAACAGTGCACGAGGTATAATGCTACGACAATGCAAACTTTTATTGAGGGACGAAAGTACAATGTCGCATAAAAAAGCTGTAGAAGCACTAAATCGCATGCTCCAGGATTTGTGCATCAATACCGATGTAATGGGAGGAATGGTGGTTTTACTGGCTGGTGACTTTCGACAAACTTTACCTGTCATTCAAAAGGGCACACCTGCAGATGAAATTAAAGCATGCCTCAAGTCGTCTATTTTATGGTACAAGGTGACAAAATTCAGTTTAACTACGAATATGAGAGTGCACTTGTATAATGCTATCAATGCTGGAAACTATGCTGACACACTATTAAAAATTGGCGATGGGCAGTTGGAAATAGATTCTGAGGGCTGCGTTAAATTGACGAGAGATTTTTGTAATTTAGTACAGAGTCATTTCAAATTAATTGCGAGCTTTTATTCAGATTTAACGAACAACATGCATGAAGACAAATGGTTATGTGAAAGGGCGATTCTTGCACCAAAAAATGAGCGAGTTAGCAAAATAAATTCAGATATAATATTAAGCAAAGTAGCAGGAGAATATACAGAGTATTTTTCAGTAGATACAGTTATGGACACAGAACAGAGCACTTCATATCCCGCAGAGTTGCTAAATTCTCTAGAGTTGTCAGGTGTGCCCTCACATAAGCTTCAATTAAAATTAGGCGTCCCAGTCACGCTAATGCGAAATTTAGATGCTCCTCGGTTATGTAACGGGACAAGGCTGCGTGTGACACATCTTGGACGGAACATAATCGGTGCTACAATTTTGACAGGCGTAGGAAAATTTGAAAATGTTATTATACCATAGATCCCTATAATTCCCACAGATCTTCCTTTTCAATTCAAAAGGTTGCAGTTCCCTATTAAGCTCAGTTTTGCAATGACAATTAACAAAGTGCAAGGGCAAACGTTACAGGTAGCGGGGGTCAACTTAGAGAAGCCGTGCTTCTCTCATTGTCAGCTGTATGTAGCATATTCACGTGTGTCAAATGTCCAGAATCTCCAGATTCTTTCCCCGAATGGAGAAACATATAACATTGTGTACAGTAGCGTCTTAAAATAGTGTTCAGTTAGTTTTTTCTCCAAAATTCCCACAATCAATTAATCAGAATTCCCACAGATCTCCCTTTCAATTCAAAATTTCCTATTTAGCTCATTTATTTTCAATTCCAAATGCTGCACCTCTGACGGACCTATTAAGCTCGGTTTCCTTACAACTCAAAAGACTGCATCTCTGACGGATCTTTTATTTAGCTCAGTTTCCTTTCAATCCAGAAAACAGAATAAACAGGCTATTTTCATGCTTTCCTATACGCTGCGTTTCAAAACATTTAAATAGGCTGACGAATCAATTTTGCTCAGTTTCCTTTTAATGGCTGCATCTCTGACAAATCTATAAAACTCAGTTTTCTTTCAATTTAAAAAGCAATGGATAGTTCATTTCCCAGTGACCATGCGGGCGAAGCCGCGGGTATCAGCTAATACATAATAACTTTATGTTTTTTAATATTTAAATTACTTTTTAAGTTTTTATTCTTTGTTATGGTACCGTGATTGAGTGTGGGTGACAATAAGGAGTCATTACTATTTACACACATTGTCCTCGATGAAAATTATATGGCGCGCTGATTCTCACTCTGATGTTTTATTAACCCTTAACCACTTACCTCTGTTTTCTGTCACGTAACCACTTACGTGCGGTCATAGTGACCGCTCCAGAGTTATCGTCATGTTTATACTACAATCAGGTTAAAATCGGGAAGGATATATGAAAACTACATAGATATATACTAATACTATTTATTGAAACTAAAAATAACAAAATATGTTTTGCTCTGCCATTTAAAACCTAGTATTTTTGCTAGCCTCTTAATTAACACTTAAAAATTTTACTTCTTTAGAAAATGAGATCTGTAAAAAAAGGAACTTGGAAATTGTACTTATTGAGACTAAATTTTAGTTAAATTAATAAAGTAATTACTTAATGAAATCAAAAAAACAAAAAAGTTACAACATGTTTAAAAAAATTGCAAGTACTAAAAGTTTAAATTTTTTTCGCGGCAACTACGGCACATTTTTTGCGAACATTCTACGCATATTGGCTTTTTACATACAAAACAAAGGTGAAATGTTTTACGTTTTAGGTTCGCAGACTGAACAGGTCTTGCGAGTTTCCAGCTTGTCAGCACCGGAACTGCTTGGTATTTCTTCTTCAACTTGAAGTTTTTTTGAAGAACTTGAAGAACTTGAATTCGGCCAATAGAACCTCTGATATCCAGCGGAATGTGTTCATTCGTTCTTCGTCGCTCCATGCGCGATCGTGTTAACTGTTCTGCCAATTTTTTTATGAACTTGAATCTACTTCCGTTCTTTTGCACCTGATTAGACAAACTGACAATGTAGGTGTTTGAAAGCGATATGTCCAACAATCTATAAAAAATGACCATTGGCCATTTTTGAGTACGACGAGCTGTAGAATAATTTGAACACCTTCGATCCAGTAAATCGACGCCTATTTTCGTTTTATTATAGTACATAATGATTTCTGGTTTTTTGGTATTTTCATTAACGCTTGCTGTATGGTGCATGCTCGAAATCATAATAACAGTCTTGTTCTTATTTGGTACATAAGAAGACAAAGTCATATCTTTGGTGAAACCGAAAACCGATGATTCAACTGTTATTATATGTTCTTAGATGCCTTAAATACTGGTGGTATTTCGCGCTTGTTTTTTTTTTTCAAAGTACCAACAAGAGTCAATTGTTTATCTTTCAAAACATTGACTAGTTCTACAGAACAAAACCAGTTGTCAGCCGTGTTTTGTTCTTTTTGTTTTTGTTTGTTTTTCCCATTGATTAGTTCCCTCAATAACAGATATGAGACGTAAAACTGCTTGAGTCGGCTTCGATAGTCGCTGTTGTTCCGCAGTCAAATTGAGACAAGCCCATCTTTGCCTAAATAAATGTAAGCATTGACAAGGTAACTATTTCTTGCGTCTGTTAGGCACATTATTTTCAAGCCTTACTTAGCTGGTTTCTTTGGCATTGACATTTTGAATTTGCAGCGACCACGGAAAGTCACTAACATCTCGTCTACACAAGCGCAGGCACCTATGTTGTAGATTTCTTGGCATTGCTGGATAAACGAAGCAAACAATTCCGATATAGGAGCTGACAGATCAGCCTCTCTCCTCTGCTCTCTAGTTTCATCAAAATTTCTAATCTACTTTTACTCATTGGCAGCGATATATTTCTCTTCCAGACCATCAGTATTATACCATGAAGTATATTGTTCGTGATTTTCTTTAAAGATAGCAGAGTAGAATAAAATACCAATAAAGGCCTTCAACTCCATGAGATCAAAATCCTTAACATTCGTTTGTTTTTTATATTGCGGTCTCATCTTCCTTATTTTTTCATTAGTATGCTGAACAATTTTTTCAAGCATCTCATCTGAGAAATAAAGCTTCCAAATATCGAGAGGTGTTGTATCATTGGTAAGAATATCTCTATATGCCGGCTTTACTCCTTGAGGTTGTGAAACAATATTATGCCGCAGAGATCTCGAACGACTAGTGCAAGGCGTAGAAGACCATCGGAATCGGTTCTTGCCAAAAAAAAATCCTTCTAGTAGTTTGGTGTTGCACGAGAGGAACCTCATCTTCTTATGAAAAGCTGTCACGCGTAACTAGCGATCTACTTCGTGAGTAAATAAAAAACGAAGAAACATCATCTTCATTTCCAAGCGGAAATGGCTCTTCTTCTGAAGACGATCCGCTCTTGCTACCTTCAGAGTCATATTCACAGTTCTCTTGGAGCACATAATCTTCCGCAACATCGAGCTCCACGTCACTGGTATCTTCATTCAGTATCTGCTTCTCATCTGACACTTCTATTTCTAACCACCGCGCAATATTTTCGTCGTTTATACTCATTTTACACCAAAACAACAAAAACAATATCAAGACAAAATAATTACACAACCACTTACGTGCGGTGAAGGTGACCGCTTACGAAAATGTCTTGTTTATTGTAGCTGAATGCTGCGCTCGTTGACACATGTCGAGCGACAGCGCGTTACTAACCGGGATTTTGGGAAGGTAAATGAACGCACATAAGCGTGAGACAAACACACGTCGAGATATAAACGATTAAAAAACCGTTGCGGTCATGGTGACCGCAGGTAAGTGGTTAAGGGTTAAGGAGTCAAAGCGCTCCTCATTGTATTTACATGACTTTATCAGATCATTCATGGCCAATATGTTTTCTTTAATCTCAACCTGAGCCGATACATATTTATTTGAGATAATTTGTAAGGAGTTTTTAAGAGACAAAACTTCTGAATTGAGACACTCTATTTCAGTATCGTAACAGTTTTTCATATTTTCCACCTCAATTGAATATAATTTAAGTTTATTAATTAATTCATGCTTTTCCTTACATAATTTTTTATATTAATTCTAGTTTTAATTAATTTTTGCACTTTCCTAACATATTTATTAATTTTTTATATATTTCTTTAATTTTCTTCTACTGCACGTATTCCTTTTTGCTTTTCTTGATGTGACAAAATTATCATCAGTCAAGTCGATTGTTGTGGAGGGTTGCAATGTTTTTGAAGATTTACATTGCATGAGCTCATTGAACAGACTTTGAGTTTGGGACACTTTCAAATCATCTGAGTATTGTTTTAATTGCACAATCTGCTCATTAGCCTTACTTAACTGTAACTGCAATGCAGCAATTAATCTGAGGGACTCCTAATATTCCTTGCTGCATTGGTCAAACTCATCGACTGTTACCTGAAGCTGATCCCTTTCTTTTAAAACATTTGTATAGTCTTTATGCAACTTAACCATATCACTTTTTAGTTGAGTATTTTTGGCAATTATATTTATTATTTACTTTTCGTTGTCATCCCTTTCTTTAAGCAACAGCTCACACTGCTTCTTTGACGCCTTAAGTTCCAGAAGCGCCATTTGAAGTTGGTTCTCCATTTGGCGTGTTTTGACGTTGCGTGTATTCATTTTACTATTATGTGTAAATAGCAAAAGAAAACAAAGAAAGAAAACCAAAGAAACAGAGTAAGCTAATATCTAGATCTATGGGTTTACTTACAGATCTCAAATTAAATTATCAGGTAAATAATTAAAATTTAAATCCGAAACAGCACTTATTTAAAAGGTAAATCTTAAAATATTAAAGTGATAACAAGAATTACACTAACTTACAGAAAGTTGAAACGATGTTTGTTACAGCTGTCACTTTTAATTCAAACACAAAACACTATTTATTTAAAATACTTATGACTTTTATTTATTTATAAACACTATTAAGTCTTATTTAACAACTGTAACTAGATATTGAGGTGGATATTATCAATTTACAATATTTATTTTTATAAAATAGTTGGGAGCTATTATTTTACAACTTGTCATTGGGGTTCCCACAGAGTAATCTTAACTGAAACTGTAATAGTGATTTTCAATTATTTTGTGTACACAATATAAAAAATGTTATACTTCTACTAATATTTATCGACCTACGTAAAAGTAATATAACTATTAACAATGTAACTATTTCTTAACTTCTGTGAAAATTAAAGAAGTGTTTAAGTCTATCCTTTAAGGTACATTTTACTTGAATTTATATTATACTATATTGTACAAGTTTTCTAAAACTTAGGTGTCAATCACATTGTGTGGTCATAGTTCGATGTAAACGAAAACATTTGTATATACCTACTTTAGAATTTAAAACACAAACTGTTTCAAATTTCATGCACTGCTAGGATTACAATTTGTATTTTGATATATCCGTTCGTTGTTATTGTAGTGATAACGACTTTTGTTCCCAATTTCTTTGTTTTGTTCATTTTAATATTCAATGTGGTAATTTAATTCAGTTTTAAATTGTTAGAATATTTAAAGTTCTTAAACTATTATTATTTACTATTTTTCACGAAAAATTGTACTTATTTGTGAGGATTATGAAATAATTTCTTTCGGTAAATGACTTTAAAACTCCTCTTATATGTATACAATTTATTTATTTAAATTTTGTTGTGCTAATATTGTGAGCCTCATTCCGTGACTATAAATGATATATAATGATTTCTTATATTTACGCGAACACTACACATTTAAATATTACTAGTTTTTATGGATTTTATCGCGTATATTTAACTTTATAAATATCTGACGTTTCGAGCACTTTACAGCACCTACTTATAGTCACGAGGGAGACAGATGTTCAACGTCCAGATGGCACAGTTAACCAAGGTTACCATTGATTAAAATTAAAAAATGACGAATTAATTGAAATATACATAGTTACGTTATATGTATACAAATACAGATATCTATTTTTTGTTTCTAAATTCGTATGTTATATAATAATATTTTCCGTAAGAATAATTACTTGAACATACAAATATTTATTTTAAAAATTGTGCGAACTTTCTGCTTTAAAAACTCCATTAGCCTCGCAATTCATATACAGCTTACCGAGTGGAGCTCAGATAGGTTTTGATTCATTGTCATCGCATTGATAAATACTGTGTCGTAAATCAATATTTTAGGAATATATAAAATTTTCATGGATGTGATGGCTCTTCATCCAATATTTTACCTACTCTCCTACACACTGACAAATGACACTGCTATTTGTAACAATATAACCATCACCACAATATACTTGTGATGATTGTGATGAACCATAATGTCGAGGCTGTAATATTTATACCAATATTTCTGATAACAACAAGAAAAGTGATCTTTTGGAGACATTTATCTCTGAATCTGAAAGGGGATTGCCCACTCTTCATAGACACTTCGGCCATGGGTGCCCACATATAAAAGTATATAGATATGATAATATGCAATTAAAAGATAATGGTAAAGGAATTGCTTTAAAAAAAAGTCGGGATTTTAAAGATATATAAGTTTTTATTTTCACAAATACAGTTTTTTTAACAACAACTTTTATCAATTTTATCGCGTTTTATTTCTTTTATTTTTAATTCCAGACGTTTCGGGTACTTTCCAGCACCCATGGTCACGGCGTACTGAGGTGACTGACGTCCCAATGTCAGTGTTAACCTGGAATACCTTCAGATTTTTAATTTTTATTTATGGTCCGATCTACAGAATGAACTTACTGTGTCTTGAAGTCTAGCAGTGGTATGCTTGGGTATAGTTTTAATTTCATTAATTAAAGGGTCCGAAGCAGGTGGTAGTACCAAGCTAAGGAGGCTCTATTTAAATAAGGATTTTTTTTATTTCAATAGTCTCACGTATCATCCATGATAGGAATTGATGTTCCTTCGAGAGGATATGTGGTCAATCAAATCTGATTTATGTCTATCTGGTTGGGGCCGTCTAGGATATGATCACAAACTGCAAACTTCCCTGAACTTTAATGCTTCACGTCAGCTATATGTTCTTTTACGCGGGTTTTAATTGTTCTTTTCGTTTGCCCTATATATGAGAGACCACATTCACAATCAAGGGTGTACACTCCTGCACCTTTTAGAAGAATATGACACTTGATTGATGGTAAGAACTCACTAATCTTCTTCAGAGGCTTGTAGAATGTTCTAATAGAAGCTCGCTTCAAGATGTAGATGATCTAGTCTGTGACACCCTTGGCATATGGTAGTACTGCACATGCTTGACTGTGGCTGGCTTCACTCGGTCACTGTGACGCAGGCGCGGGACCCGAAGCTTGTTGACGTGCAGAACCTGCTTTACGTGCTGAAGCTCGAGCCAGATGTTTGCTGTCACAGATCCCTTGTGCTCTCTGTAATAAAGATTTGCTAACGGTAGCTAACTTGTGAAGGATGATGGTGAGATTCATTGTTTTCTATACACAGTGTGACCTATGGTATTGTTAGGATTTTGGATGACTAACGCATCTAGGAAAGCTAAGGAATTATTTGCCTCTAATTTCTACATCAATACATCATCCAGGAACTGAGCAGGAGGCAAAATATTAGTTTGATGCCATGCTCAAACCAAATTCCATATTAATGTCATAACATGGGCACAGCATCTTACTGTACGTATGCCGGCAATACAATTGCAACAATACTTTTTAAATGCACTTCTACCATCAGCCACTAATTAAAATATATATAAAATACACTTTACGACACTAAGTAAAGATCAGCTAGAGCTTAAGTTTATTCCTTCTAAAATGCTGCTCCTGTGGTTATTACAAAGTTCTATCCGGTAGCAACCATTAAATCTTATATGCTCACCATAGCAGCTTGGAGTGAGCTTGCTTTAACTGGTATGTGCCACAAGCAATTAATATTAAGTCGTTCAAACAGGAAATTCTATTAATATATATAATTATACATTTATATTTCTAAAGTCTGCCCTAGCTCTATTTAGATTGCTTTCCCTAGCATACTCAGACAAATCATTATTTGTCTCCATATTTCGGTGAACTATTTCAAGTATTTAAGCCGCATCATCCCTGTCCCGTATTTTTGTGTGGAATTAGAGCAGCAGCCACTCTATCATCAAATGTGTAGAAGCCCTGTTAAAGTAATTTTGGCGAAATATTTTAAATTCAGTTTTAAAAATGCCATTCACCACCACATATGGACACATAGTCACGGCTCTGGACTTATCAGTATATCTTGTCATTAACTGAGATTCACCATCTGCTGGAGACAACAGTACCTGACAAACTCCATTTGGAATGAGAAGAGTTCTTACAGCTATTTCTGCTTGGGATATATAATTTGTGTCTACATTCATAGAAACAAAATCCTGATTTAACATTTCACAGGCCATATTCATGAGCAGCTCTAATGTACTTCTTGGAACTTGCATGGAACTTGCTTGTTCGTCACCATCTATTATATATACACATTTATTATATTTACTTGACAGTCTATAATCTTGACAGTCTATAATCTCAGACA